TGCTTTAAGGTTGAAGGAAATGGTCTATTTAGTGGTGCTAAGAAGGTTAGTTAGTTCATTTCTGACACTATTTTCATCACATAGAGTACGTGCCAAATATGGTATAGTGGAATTTTCATACTTAAACGTACGTGCATAAAGTCTTCTGAAAAGATTTCTTGTTTTACCTGAGGAGACACAAGGCTGGAGCTGCTGGTAGAGTGGGTGCTCACAGTATGACAAAATCCCCTTAGCGAATCTGTTGCATGACATCAAATGCCTATCGGTGACAATGCCAACGATATGGCCCAATGGGATACTACTCGTCCTACTGACAGTCTTCAGAGTTCTACGAAGTATGACATAGTCTTTTTAAAACAATCCAGGAGAGAATACGGGTGAACAGTAAAGAAGAATAGGCAAAATACACGAGTTAACAAACTGTAAGAAAAGTGGTTGGGTTATGCCTGAGTGCCTCAACTTCTTAATGTAAAAAGTCAGACGAAATATTCTTTGAGAAATCGCTAAGACATGAGAAGACCAAGATGGGTCAGAAGAGAGAACTAATCCAAGATACTTAACTTCAAACTGGGTTTCTATATCAGTATCATCGATTTTGCAAGGGTCATAGGAACCAACGGCTTCATTTAATATTCGTTTACATCGGAAACTGAAATTAACAGTCTGACATTTGGAAGGATTAAGTTTAAGGCCGTTAGACGAAGACCATTTGCTAATTTCTGATAGAAAGTTGTTAATCTTAATACAGTCAAGTTGAGAGTTAACAGACATTGAAATAGCTAGATCATCGGCATACTTAACAAAGTTCATTTCATCGGAGTGAGGCAAGTCATGCAAGAAGAAAGAAAACAGAAAAGGAGAAAGGACAGCGCCTTGAGGGACACCAGCCTCAGTAAGCAATGAAGTGGACGACTTTCCCTGACATACAGTGTATTGCTTTCTTTCTGAGAAATAAGAATGGAGCCATTTGACAACCCAACAGTCAGTTTGAGTTTCAGCAAGCTTGTTTAGTAAAATGTCCCTAGGTACTGTGTCGAAAGCAGATGTATAATCTAGGAAGGTGCAGCGAACAGATTTAGCCCCCTTGTCTAAGCTGGAGACAATGTTATGATACAGGACTGCAGCTGCGTCCAAACTACTTCTACCATGTTTGTAGGCGAATTGTTTGGGATCGTTAAAGGCTTTAAGTGAGGGCTGAAGATTAAGTAAGAGCAACTTTTCCATAGCTTTTAGAAAAGGGGAAGTAATAGCAATGGGTCTGAATTTAAAACATGTCGCAGTAGACGACTTAGGAATAGGTACAATTTTAATGTCCTTCCAAGCGGCTGGCACGACATTTTTGGAAAAAGAATCATTAAACATGTCCATGATAGGATAACACAGGATATCTGCTGACTCAAATGAAAACTGAAGGAACACGTGATAGCTGGAGTGGAATGATGACATGATCAGCAATCAGCTGTCCTCACTCAGGTGGTGAAGTTCTAAGGTCACCGGTTTGCATCCTATCTCAACCCAGGTTTACAGTCACCATTCAATACACTAATATCAGTCCTATCAGTTCAAAGCAATCTCAGGTAGTTGCACCTGCTTTCTTTCTTGTATGTCAGTTTGAATTGAAATGACAGGGAAATAAAGAGATAGAATTTTCGGTTCACTAAGTCCTTTCCTTTTTTGAAACGTATTCAATCTAAAACTATCATTTTAGGCATTGGATATTTTACAAAAAGGCCGAAAAGGTGTTGGTGTTAGTATTCTATTCGATTCAAATGGAGACCAAACATCTGTCAATGAACCACACAATCCAATACGTTCACTTCCATCGAGCGAATTGGCAACGTGATAGAATCCAAGGATCTGGTTGCATGCAACAAATTTTAAATCAAGGATGGTCATGGTAATTATTTCATCTTAACACATTTTATGAATGTTTGTACTTAATACAACTTTGTAGAATGAACTTCGTTTCCTGAAAACAATCGTTGTCATGATAATCCGTTAAGATTTTCATGGGCCAATCAATTTATTTACGTGTTTAATAGAGAACAATTAACTGACCCGCTTATGGAATTAGTTAATTAATCGATTAATCAACGATTGTAAATTGTGGATGTTTTACAATTATGTACTTTATATTATCATACTGTTATTATTCACTTGGCTTCCGAATGGAACAGGGCTCCAACAGCACACCTCCATTTCACCCCGTTCTCCAAGGTTGACAAAAGACATCAACTTGCTCGAAATGCCTCCGTGACAACTCCAAATTCTGACCAACATAGAAGAACCCACTTGACATCGGTGCTGGAAATCCGAATCACGTTCTTTATGCTTTGGAGTGCGGGAGATTCCCAAACTGATTTCAGATTGATCAAGGTGTATCTTGCCTTTCCGATTCTGACTGGCTGGTTGGCTGTCTGTCTGGCTTTGACATCTTCATGCGTTCTACTGACTGTGGTTGAAACCACGCTTCCTAGATAAGTGAAGGAAGTGACCTCTTCCGAATTTATTCCGTTGATGGTGATTGGTGCTTGTTGTCGTTGTTGTGGTTGATTATTTTCACCAATTCCGTCTTCTCTGTATTTGCTTGAAGTTCTATCTTTGCTTGCATCCTCTGTTGTCAATTTAGGCGTTACCGATAGTCAGCCTTGTCTAACTCATGTATTCCCCTCGGAGACTTCTCTGAGTTTTCCGTTATGGATCAGTTTTCATGTGGCATTGTGATATAGGTGTTGAATCAGGTTGATAAAGGTTTTCGGTGGTGCACTGTGTAGCGTTGAAGTAGTTTCCGAATTCGTTCACGGTCAACTCTGTCGAAGACCTTTCCAAAGTCGATCAAATTGAGGTAGAGTATGCATAGCCCATATTTCTACTTCAGCCGCAAGTGGAAGGGGAAAAATATTTTTTATCTTGTTTATCTAATCTGTGTACATTTCCCTTATTATGACTATTGTTATAATTACTATTTTTACTTTGACTTTGAACAGCTTCTGATGTTATTTCATTTGCCTCCATTTATTATTTCGATTCGTCACATTGTTTCCAACGTTAAACTCTATCTTAGGAAGCGTTTCACCCCATTATGTCATCTTTTATTTGCCTACTACTAATCGTATCAATTTTGCACTCTCACAAGTTTCAGTGAAGTTTAGGTAGCGATATGACTACCATTCTCAACATCTGCTCGATGAAGAGTGTCAAAGTCAAGGTTTGGAAGACATGACAGGTGTCCATTACTCCGAAATAATTCTGGAGACCTATACACACCACTCGAGTGCGTCGGTGGTATAGCGGTTAGTAAATGGAGAAAATTTCGAACTTTGTCTATGCCGGTGATGAGTTAGCGCTTCTATATGGTTCAGTGACTTGGAAGCGCATCACCACAAGTATTTCTAACGGAAAACTGGGGACTTTCATCAGCACCTGTATTCACTCTGTCGATACTGAAGATCAAATGGCTAGAAAGAATAAGCAATAGGGAAGCATCAAAGAAGCAATTGGCCACCAAATATGCAGAAGAGAATGCAGATGCATTGAATATAGTCTGAGGAGATATTCAAATAATATCACACTCCTGGTTGTTCAGTGAAACCCGGATGGGTAGCGATGAATAATGTATAGGCTCCAGAGTGACCTGTAGAAGGTTATGTTAGGAGGATACATAAGCTTCTGGGCAGTCATGGAGCCTGTTGAGAATAATGACAAAGAACATATTTTAACTTAGATGTACTGCTGAAGTGCTACATTTCACTTCGAAAGCAAAGAACTAATGATAATTGCTGCTCTTGTATATTATGTATGCATTGTTAGTCGGAATAATATAAAGACTGGCTAAATATACTATTAAGCCAGTAAGCGTAAACTGATCAGGCCTTAACTAATTTCTGGGATTGAAACGTTATTTTAGAAGTGATAACTTTTAGTACAGTCCCAATAAAAATGTTATCAAAATTCAATACTATCTATTGACATGAATAGTTGGAAAGCATTTCCTTATTTATCGCGTTTACTCGAAGCTTTGCAAACAAGTTCAACAAAACTTGACTATTCGTTTTACTAAACTGGACATTATTTTGGGTAATAGGGGGAATCATTAATAGCCTCTTATTATTGATCCCTGACATCTTGGGCAAACACGAAATAATGCAAACGCTACATAATCATTCCACTGGCTTACTAACAAGCTCATCAGTGGTGTCATGCGTCAAAATAAATAGATAAGTGGATTATTCCAGGGTAGATTTCTCTACTAACCGTTAGTGGTAAGACAAGTTTTTGTAACTAAGGTGCACTGTACAGCTGTTTCTTCCTAGTTTGGGCCCTTTCCACGGTACACACCTCTAACTACACCATGGATCAGAAATCGAGCCTTCAGATGGCGTTATGCCTGAGAATTGAGACAAGTCAGAAGTTAGGGTTCGAAACTCATGGTGCTGAGTTCGACTCTTAATGAAGCCATGGTTTTCCATGGTTAGAAGTTCCTGAACTTGGAAGAAACAGCTATTCAGTGTTCTCTGGTTTTTACTGAGATAGATTTGTGACAAAATCTACTTTAAATTCAATAGAATGACCAAAAACGTAACACTTGAAGATAATAAATAAAATTCAATTCTTTGTGGTCAGAAGCAAATCTTCTGACACGCCTTTTGTTACTTTCGAGAGTAAGTCTGATAGGGCATCAGCCATTTCAAACATCTGAAACTTATCCGCTCCACTGTTGAATCATAGGAGTGTAAATGTTTTAAAATTATCTTTAGTTTTATGGAATTCCAAGGTTTACCGCTACTTACTTTAGTGACAGGACCTGCATGTCCTTTGGTCGTGTATGATTGTCCTCTGACGTGAACATGCCCGGCTGATAAGTATTGAGTACAACTGAACGACCATTATGATAACCAGATAATATAAATTTGTGGCATTCCTCAAGGTGTATTTTGTATGGAACTAATTGCATACGTAATGTAAACTGCGATGATCACTTTCCGGTTAGTATTTGAGTTATGATGTTACTAGCTATTCTTCCCGATTCCAGCAAAAGTGGCCTTGCATATAAACCAGAAGAAATTCAAGCTTCTCAAAAATACCAACATCCTTTCGACAACGATTCTGATAGAACCGACCATACGGGTTCACAAATGGCAGAAATTTTTGGCGTGAAGTCTCAATCTAATTCATCATGTCAATCTAATACTGGCATAAAAATTGCTCCACGAAGTATACCTCCGTCAGCAGCACCAAATGCTGCACGTGAAGGGGTTGGAATGGCTGAGCGGTTCGGTTTAATTCAAGTTCAACAATCTTATGCTGGAGGTGATAGTGATGAGATCTTCGATGTAAAGTCTAAAGCTACTGAGTCTTCAGATATGTGGCGAAATGGCATTGGGCCACGTGTTAGATATGAGGTTTGTCTTCTTGTATAAACATTTTTACAAAGTGTAAATATCTTCGTACTGGTGTGACTAAATGTGTAGAAGGTCACAGCCTATGCAAAACAAGCATCTCTCTTGGTTGAATATTTAGTGATCGACTTCTTAACCTTTATGCGCTATGTTCAACAGATTAGAGTTCACTCTTCGATGGGAATCATTTACAGCTAGTGATGAAGTATCCTAAACTTTAACAAGCCAACTACTTATTACTACTTGGTTTCAATCACCATAAAGGATAAAAGTAGAATGAGAATGTGTAAAATGAAAAATTATAAAATTCTTAGAATACTGAAAAGGACAAACCTGAACATATTTGCCCAGCATAATTATCATGTTGGGTTCTAGCACATACATACAATACATTATTATTATTATTATTATTATTATTATTATTATGATTAATTTTACACATTTTGAAAATTGAAGTCAGACAGCTGAAACTCAGTCTATCTATACTCCAAAGCATTTAGCTGCTCAAGCCAATATTCTCATACACCATCCACACCACCTGTAAGTATATTCACATGGCACTTTCGAACCAACCATGTTTTCAGACAGCATTGGACTGATGATAGAGGCTTTTTGCCAATGGAATAAAGATGTATAGCCTGAGGTTCATGAATCCAACTTTATGAAAAGAATTCTTTGGTTTCAAGATTTGTTCTCGATAAACATCTAATGTCGACAACACATTCAGTGATCAATCCATCTTTCCATGAAACAATATAAGTCTCCAGGACTTTAGTTAATTTCCACACTATGGTGCTTAGCGGTGTGAAGATACCTATAGAGGTGACTTAACTCAAAGACGTTTACAACTGTAAGTCTGATTGACCTTCAGCAGACTAGTTCAATGCACAGCCTTGACCTCACAACTGTTCTATAGTATTCAGTGGATTACATAATCATGTCTTATTCGATCTATATGATTTCAGATCCAATGAAGTTACTGTGAGTAAATTTGTAGATATGAGTAGCAATTTAATGTTAGTTTTATTTTAAACTCTAGAAAGCATGAACAATGTTCATTTCTTTATATTATTATAATATCATGAAGGTCTTGGTTTCCTCTGCGTAATGCTGTTATAATTGCCTGTATTTTCCTCTAAGTTCTTATGAATTTTAGACACAATTATTAAGTAGTGAGTGAAGTTTAATATGTATAAATCTCAGTGACTGTGAAACAAATAATTTCAAAGTCCTGTTCAGTTAACTGGTTTAAACTTCGTTCGAGAAATAATCAAAATTAAAATATGCGTATATGTAATTGGCAGAAAACAAGATTTTCTTCAGACTGTCTGAATTATGTCTGAATAATGAATGAGTAGTCATCAAAACACGTACGAAATCGTTCTACATGAAGATTGACTGTAAACACCATGTGTTGTCGCGCCAGATTCTTGTGGTATAGTGAGGGTTTCCAGTCAGTGAAATTGTTTGAACAGAAATAATTTCTAATAAAATTGCACAAGATTTTGTCGAGAGTGTAGGAGAATGTGAATTTTCAAGTGGCGTGTGACTGGCATGGTGTGAATGTGGTGCTCCTTACACGTTGATTTTAAGAGTTTACGTTCCAGTTGAACTATGCTGAAATCTCGCAACTCTAAGAGGACAGAAATAATTAGAAGGCGATAATTTCTGTAGAAATGGTTTATTTGTTGTTACAGCTGTCCTGCTTTTTGACATAGGTTCACTATATGGAGACTTCATTCATTTCAATGATTACTAAGAATTTTCACGGCTTTATCTTAAGTGTCTGACTTACGAACTGGTCAAATCGCTATTCCGGTGTTTGAATATCTAATGAAACTGGCCATTCCTAAATTTTAAGGAAGTTACTTGAAGCTGAGAATATACGAGTTTTATTTAGACTTTATTGGCTTCCTGCTAAATGACTCCAACTAACTAATAATGGTGAATCGACTTGTTAGATTATTGATAATATACACTGTAAGAACTTGGTTAAATCAGAAACCAAAGTACGTCTATTGTTTCAATTATTCAGAGTTAGCAACCAGTGAAGTTGAGCAAACATTGTCTGCTTACTCTGGTTATGGCATATTTATCTGACTCTTAGCAGTTTCAGCTGCACATGGAAATTTATACACTTGCTATTGATCATTCAACTAATTCATAAGCATAGCCATAGGTGCAGTCAGTCAACTAGCAAAGTAATACCAACAACTGATTATCAGTTCAGTGACTTTAAGGTGCAATTTTCGAGAGTTCAGGTGAAAAGTGATTTTCAGTAGATTTCATCAAGTCAGTGAACTAGACGCAGACACAAAATAAGGATCACCCACAGAAACCGTCCAATTTATGCGTGTATCATTGCGCTGATACACATAAATCAGGCACAGGGCTACAAACTACCTGTCTTAAACAACCCTTACCAATGCGCACTATTCAACACCCAGTTCAGATTCAACAATGACACACATCAACTGAAGGATGGATTGTGTCGCAAGCAGACCATCACTGGGTCCACTCCTGACTGATTGCTTGATACCAAAGCTCAAAACACACTGAACTTAATCAAACCGTCCCTTGCACACTTGCTCAACTCAATATCTACACAAGATATGTAGACGACAAGTTCGTCATATAAGATAAAGATGTTCCATTTGATGATATTTCGCTCTCACTCAACAAATGACATCCATCCGTAACAGTTACTCGAGAAAAGGAGTCTCTACTGATCACTCAATATGTTAATCACAACACTTGATGACGGATCTCTCTAGAAGGTGAAGGATATCGACGTCTTCGCAAATACACTACACGCGAATGCAAGTGTACACCTTCCAACGCCCAATGTACTTGTCCTACTTACACCAGACAACTGTTCGGAAGGCAAGTCAAAACAACAAATCGGTTGACCAAAATACGAAGTATGTTTCAGGATGGATAATGTGGAGTGGTGATGTGTGTTTAGCCAGCCAGCCATGTAGTCAGGCATAGTTTGTACACGACCAACAAAACGCAAGATGACACCGTGGTGAATGGTGAAGACGCTTGAGTCTCTTGTGAGAAGGCAGGTTTACGGTGTCTGAGACCCTCAACTAGAACAAATCAGCTGTTCTATACTTCTTTGATTTTCGTGGATATCGGTTTGCGACGCAGTTCACCTCAGAGCAATAGAAATCCTCGTAAAGTGAGTATCTGAAAATCTAAAAATCACTTTAATCTGTGAGAGATGTTCGTGTGAATAGTGTGATTTGCGAAGGATTTTCGCTCTAATCATCAGCTTTCTGAAGCGAGACTGAGCAATAAGAAAAGAAACTGGGTACTACACTGTGGTCGGGTACAATACAATTATGTAGTGAATTCATTTCAGAAGAACACAGGGATGTAATATCGTTTACTGTTAAGAAATAATAGAATTATTTAAAGGAGGTTGCAAAGTTATATGGTAACCTTGATATGACTATGAGCAATAAATTCTGCTCAAAAGGTCATCAGTAAATAGTATTGGATAACACCGAGTGATTATATCAAACAAATCTACTCTGTGATGGAATCAAGACTTCTATATTTAGTTGAATTCAGGTTCTCTTAAGAAAGATTACTTGCATATTGGAGAAGAAGAAGAAGAAAAATCTTTTACCTTCGTTCCCATATGAATTTACTCTAAAGACGACAATTAGGATGTTGCTGTAAATTCTCTTCCAATCAAAATTAGCCTACTAAACACCGACCGCTTCAATAACAACTTATCAGAAATAATTTAGAATTATGATCTGATTAGTATTTTCTGACCAACTTTTGTCTATTAAATAAAAGTGTAGTAAAACAGGATTTTACTTTACTCGACTTCCTTTATAGGGTGTTGAACATGCAAACAAGAATTGTGGGATATTAAACAACAGTAATTTACATTCCATGCTACCCGATCCTCCACTAAAACAAATTCCACGAGTTCGACCAGAAGCATTGGAAATATGTGAATCTCATCGTGGTGAAATGTGTAACCTATTATTAACTAAGTGAGTTATTAAATTTTATAAAATTTTGTCTCGCCCATCACGTATGCGGTCCGGTGTTCAATTCCCGGCCGCCGAACTCATTTACCTCGCTAAGCCAGTAGTAAGACAGGTATTGAGAGAAGGCTTGCCATGATGCTAGCTGCATTTGTTGAATTTGTTTCATGAAGCGATGGAATCCCAACAACTGTTGCTTTAGTTTTCATTCAAAGTCAACAAGGATGGTAAAGCAGACTAGTTGTTTTGTGTTGTCACGTGACTGACTATTCAGCGGTACTCGCTGTTTAAATCTTGAAAACAAATTTAAATATTACTTGTATTCTGTCAGATAACCTTAATAATAACAATAATAATAATCTACTTTATTCCGAAAACAGTACTTATAATGCAGAGTTGAATTCTCAGCATTTGTCACAATATTGCATCTGATTCACTCAAAATATAAATAAAATTAAAAATTAAAACGAAATTAACCAGAGGAATTTGTCCACATTTAACATTTTAACGATAGACGGATCAGATCACAATGTGCTACAACGATCAGCCTCAATGTTAGGCTTCTGTATACTGTAAAATTAGTAGGTATGGTTTGAAAGATTTCGACAAGTACAAGACTGCCGGCTTACTTAGGCAATCATTTGCTAAGCTTACAATCAGTTCTTTTTATTCTGTGATTGGCTAACACAGCAAACAATCCTGCTGTTGCCACTGTCCATGACAGCATGCCAAATCGGAGCATCAGATCTACTTATTGGCCTGCTATTTGTGTACAGTTCAGTTTACTTCAACCTAGTTATGGTTCATGATAGTCGAGCAGTAAGTACACGACTTCTACGCTTGTTTTTAATTGCTTTGTGGCTTTGTTTACTTTTAGTATGAATGGTTAAAGAATGCTTTCCTATGCCTTACTGTTCCTACACTTATTGAAAGATGATTAGATGAAGAAGGGCTGTTTAAGCAACGTTATTTTCCACATAGTTTATTGGCCCTATCGGTTCTGAGTCTATATATCAAACAGTTCATTGTTTGATTAGGCCTACGTGTATCCTCAACAATGCCTAAGATCTTTCTGACACGGTTTGTTCTTCTACTGTTATTTCATTAATCTTCACTGTATTTTAGACAGTCTGCTGCTGTGGAAAAGCCCTATAATAAAATGCTCAAATGCTTTACTGCTTTGACAAAGATGGTTAAGAGATGATTGATTCACTTTATTGCATAAACTATTCGGTGGACAAGTTTAGCTAGAGACTACTTAGTGTGAATATTTCATCACACCTTTCGTAAACATTGTTGAATCACACATTTCAATTTGTAAACATTTAGGAAATAAAAATTATCCTCAAATTTAAAATTTTGACGGCGTGCGGAGTTCCGTATCCAATGCATCTTTTATTCCCTTCACGATGATGCGCCTTGATGTTTTACTTGGTGTGGACAAGAGCGTGATTCCATGCCAGTTCTTGCACAGGCCTAAGTTGCAGTTCTTTGGCAGCCTGACGAGGTAGCCATCCTTTCATCCAATCGGTAGGTAACTTTCCTTCTTTCGAAAACTTTTGCAGTAATGGCGTGAACTTATCTGGCGCAGTCTCTGGGTCCGTTTTCAGTGTTTCGGGGTTGGGAAATTCTGTCTGATCGTGCTGTCTTCCCGATCGATTTTCAGTAGGTTGATCGCATTTAGGATTCCTGCTTTCGTTGAAAGATTGGTGTCCATTTCTTCCTGCATATTTGTTGCACAATTGGTTCCTGCTGGGTTGGTTCGTTGCCAGAGAGAGATCCATTTGCCGGTCTTTCCTAGCCTGTCATCTGATCTTGAGCGAAGTATTGAGCAAAGACAGCTTTTGATGAAGGTGTGTAGTTCGTTTGAAGTGCCCTTGGTGACGCAGCGCTGCGCCAAGTCTCTGATTCGTATGGTGAGTAGCACTGACTGCACATTGGAGTTGAAAATGCTGATGTTATTTTTCATGCTGAGTGCTGTTGATCTCCACACAGACTTGAGAGTAACGAAAGCTTGCCTTGCTTTCTCGATGATCCTCGCTTTGATGTGCTCATCAGTTCCGTCCGCTTGTATTTGAAACGACGATGCTTCCCATGTAGGTCGGTAGATAGGTAGGTAAAGGAGGTTGCTTCTTTCAGATTCCTCCCATTTATGCTGGCTAGTTGTTGTAGCTGTTGCTGTTGGCCAGGAATCTTCACTACCACAGCTGTTTTCTCTATGTTCATCTGAAGTAAGTCCTATCTTTGATGCTTCTTCTGCCAACTTGTTGCTTTTCACTTGCATATCCTCCAGTTTGTGAGAAATCAGACATATATATGTCATCGGTGGAATTCAGATCCTCGAAAATTTTTGTGTGGGTCAATTTTGTGCCTGTTTCCTCGTTTCCCGTCGTCTGTCACATTATCTAGTCTACCGCAATCAGGAATATCGTCGGAAGTTTGAATAATCAGTGGTTATTAAAAAGATACTTGTGCTGTAAATTTTCCTTAGTGATTAGGTCAAATTTCCCGAGCTAGCTGCACTATTCTTAAGTCCAACTGCTCAACAAACTAACCAAGAACCTACTGCCCAAAAAAAGATTCAGAAGGAAATGGAAACGAACACTGAGAAGACTGTTGAGTGAAATCACATGCCAAACGTGCCCTCAAGTATAACCTCAGTGGGGAGCGAGGAGCTGGACATCCGAGGGTGATATAGAGGAGATCGTGTAGGGGAAGAAACGCCTATGTGCAATCGTAGAGCTAGCTACAAAAGACCACAAGGAACAGAATACAGTGGAGACGTACTGCTATGTTCTACTGGAGACTTACTTAATAGACGAATAATAATAATTATGAGAAACATAGGATTTGTATTTGGTACTAACTGAAAAAAAATATGTCTATATCTTTGGAATCCTTTCAAAAATTTGGAGTCATCTGTTTTTCAAAGCTGACGTTAAAACTACCCTGCCTGACATTCTGTAAGACTGTACAGAATGAACTCAGCAATCATTAGGTTGCCATTAGTGTATTGTGTGTGTGTAAGTGTATTTTATGCGGTGGGTTTGTTTGTTAGAGAAGTTCCAATGACCAATCTAATCGTCCTCATCTTCAGAATGTTTTACTAACCATCTTTAAACAGTTCTAGGGGTAAGTAATTTAATGAATGGACTGTATTCACAAAATGCTACATTAGGAGTTGATTGAGGTTGCCTTCTATTCTATGCTTAATAAGATAGTGACTGAAATATTGAAAATTCTGCTTCTAACTTGGGAAATATTTCCATTTCTTAATAGCGTAGTCTTGATTTGAGTATATTTCTACATTATGTCACTACACTAGAGCATGTTGTATAGCGCTTAGTGCTAATCTTATACACTCTCAATGGAATTTGAATGATTATTCCATATTAGATAAATTTAGTTTTGTATAAAATACCGTGAATCAGTGTATTAATAACTGTATATTATTATGGCGAGTGGCACTTATGAGATTTATCAGTAGTGTATAAAGAGACGTTCATTGCCATAAAAAGACACCAAACAGTAGGGAGATACATTTGATTTCACAGAAGGCAAATGATACAGCGTTGTAAAGATACATGTGAGACGTGGAAGGAACACAAAGAAACACAACTTGACGTCACGAAATATAACACATTTGATCATTGGGAATTATAAAAAGACGGTTGCAGAGAAGAAAATCTTCTTTTCGATAAAGTCATCAACTAGGTTGACTGTACATTCGTATATTTATAGTAGATGGGTAAGAAATTTCGAGAACTGTTTCTCGTCTAAGGTCAAATTAATAAAATCACAAAGTGTAATAAATACGAAGATCGGATACAGAATATATAGTAAGGTAGACAGGTTGTAGTATTATCCTAGAAATGCACAACGTGAAGTCCAAAAGTATCACAAAACGAAGATCTGTGCAAATGGTGCGTTGAAGATAAGGTGTACATAATTTGACTATATAGAGATACCAAATTGCCGATAATAACATTCCTTTACGAAGTCTTTGTCTTCTACTTTTTGTTTATGTCAGATTATTATTATTATTATTGTATCCTTTAATTCCTAGAGGAACATAGGGCTTCAGCCGTGCGTCTCCATTGAGTTCGGTTCTCTGCTAGAGTCTTCACCTGGCTCCATATCTGCCCACACGTTTTCATCTCCTCTTCACATGACCTCCTCCAAATCACATTTGCACTGACGACCAACTCGCCGCTTCCCTTTCGGGTTCCACTCGAGCAATGGCTTGTCTAGTGATGTCACTTGTTGGTTTTCTCAGAGTATGGCCAATCCAACTACCTCCATTTCTTCCTGCCTACTTGTTTCACAATCGGTTCCTGGTTGGTTCGCTCATTGCCAGAGATCTCTGTTGCTGATCTTTTCTGGCCGGCTGGCCATCTGATCTTGAGTGGTATTGAGCGAAGACAACTGGCTATTAATGAAGGTCTGTAGTTTGTTGGAGATGCTCTTTATGACGCGCAGTGCAAGTCTCTGATCCGTATAGTAGCACTGACTTCACATTGGAGTTGAAAATCCGGATCTTATTTTTGATGCTGATTAGTGCTGTTGACCTCCACACAGACTTGAAAGTAGTGAAAGCTTGTCTTGCTTTTCCGATTCTTGCTTTGATATCCTCGTCAGTTCCGCCTGTAGTTGAAACGATGCTTCCCAGTTGGGTAAAAGAGATTGTTTCTTTCAGGTTCCTCCCATTTATGCTGATTGTTGTCTGTTGTTGTTGTTGCAGTTGGTGGTGTTGCCCGGGAATCTTCATCACCTCTGTCTTCTCTATTTTCACCTGAAGTCCTATCTTTGATGCTTCTTCTGCCAACTTGTTGCTTTTCGCTTGCATATCTTCCAGTTTGCGTGTAATCAGACATATATCATCGGCGAAGTCCAGATCCTCGAAGTGTTTTTTGTGTGAGTCCATGTTATGCCTGTTTCCTCATTTCCCGCTGTCTGTCGCATTATCCAGTCTACTGCAATCTAATAGAGAATTATATTATACTAACACACTGCTCAAATTCTACCTTGACACGAATTTCAATTGCAA